TCCTCTAACCAGGCCATTGATAACTATGCACTTTGGAAAGTATTAAAGAAAAGTACATTTCCAACAGCTGTGGTCCCAGGACAAATTTCTATTTCAAAGCAGCTAACTTTCAGAGAAATAAAATGAAACTGAACACAAAAGGAAAGTGGAGTAGGAGTCGGTTCTCACTATCTCCTCCTCTTCTGAAAAGAATGAAGAATGCCACGTGCCCGTGCATACCCAGCCTTTTCCAGCTGCTTACTTTAAAGCACCCTCAAAGCATGCACCTGAACGTAAATGAATACTATTTTCAACTTCCACGTAGCACTTTTTTTTTCCCTGGGTTAATCCTAGTAAAAACACAGCTAAATTCAACTTCTCAAAATGATTTTTTTTTAATTGGAATTTTATTGAAATTCACGAAGAGTCATTTTTTATTTGAGAATAAGAATAGAAATTTTCAGCACAGGTATCTGACTTTTCTTGAAGTCATACAGCTGTGAGAAGAACAGCTATCACAGAAACCATGCACGAACTCAAGCCCAGCATTTACTTATTCACCAAAAGTAATAGATGGCATTAAATATAGCTACACAATTGACGGTCCAAAACTTTTACGTCTCAGACTCAGACTCTAATGTCAAGTGAACATCCTGTTTTAATTAAAGGGAGCCCCCTGGATTATGGGGTACAACACAAGTGAAATGATGACACATCAATTGGTGGGAAGGAGCCACAGAGGTAATGCCATTTTATCACATGCATTAATTTCCACGAATTCCATCTAGACCAAGGTAAGATCCACGGGTCAAATAAATTTAAATAGCTATGGATCATGCCTTGAAAACACTAATGCCTCTCTGAAAAGCTTTTATTAAATGCATTATTCTGTGTACATGTGCTTACTGTAAAGCTTAAAAATATACTTTCACCTGATGGCTAAAAAAAGCTTTAGTCAAGGATATTATAAGCACAATTTGCATTTGCTTGACACCTAAACTTTGATAAGCTTGACTGTTGCCAATTAGTTGAGAACAGAAACGTTTTTAAAAGAAATGCTGAACAGGGTATAATTTTTTTCAGCAAGAATCCACCAGTTAAAATAATTCAGAAGCCTACTATAAACAAAAGCATCAAGACAAAGCTGTACATCTCAGAATAAAAACTATTAGAATTTGCATACCGATATTTCTGCCACCTTAAAAAAAAAAAAGTGTTTTACATACACAAATCTGTGTCAGACAACGTCTCCAAAGTTAACCTAGTTGCGCTCCAGCCTTCAAGCTGTTCTTTGGATTCCACTTCTCCAACATCCTTACTTCGGAGAGCTACATTAAAACTGTGGACACTCAGTGTTGCCACCTCTCACAACAGTGCTGTTTCTGTTAAAGTCCCACCATCAGGAAACATCAGGTTTCGGGAAAACTCTCATGCTGATGGCTTTCAACATGCTCCTGAATTTCATCCATTATGGCAAAGAAAAGGAAAAGTATGTAGCTAATGACATTTTCAAAAGAATGAAAACTATGAAACCTAACTGAAGAATTTATCAGTGCCTTCTTAAATTGCAAGAGTCTACATCTAAATAGACTAAATATTTTCACTGTGATTTTCAAATGCTTGGAATTAATGATGTTGCTAAATACATGGAAAACCAGTCCATAATTGAATAGACAAGAACTCACAAAGCCTGCTGCAAACGACTGAAGTTATCACAGTGTCCTACTCATGACATTTTGTGTCAATTTGTCCTTTACACCATCTTAGGACCAATTCTTCCTTCATAGCACTTCACGGGAATCTCAATATTGACTCAAAATGTTGCTTAGCATCTCATTCCTGATAAAGCCTAAACCCACAGATTCTGCACATCATTCACCAGGAAAACTACTACATAGTTCAGTGTGTTAAAACCACCCCTCTACCAGAAGATACAGCCCTGCAGCAATCAGCAGAAGGCAGCACAACACCTCTGCCACACCAGATCACAGACCAGTGTACTCACCCCGAATATCCGGGCAGGGAGGCGTCACCCACGACAGCAGAGAGACACACTTCCATTCCCTTTATTTACCTCTGAAAACTGGGATGGTAACATAGAGCAGAAAGGTGGTATGAACAAGATTAATCAAAATGAAGGTTCATGAAAATTTTCCGTTAATGGTCTGTAGAGCCCTTAGTTAGTGTATTGCAAGTTTTGAAGTGCTAAAGAAATCTAGTGATAAATCTAAAGCCTGCAATACAATGAGAGAGTGGACATTTTAATGCCGTGAGAAAGCAAAGTTTTAGCTGGTGATTGTACTCAGCCACGGCACACACTATGGCTGCTCTCCATTCTACCTGCAAGTTTGGCTGAGGTGCGTTGGCAGCTTATGACAACATTTATATGCAGCACAGCATTAATGTAAGGTAACATTAAAAATCTGACATGTGCCGTTCAGAATGCATTGTTGCCAAATTAGAAGTTGTAAGTGTCCACAAAAAATAGCAAGAGATGCCATTTGCCAGCCTGATGCAGGAAAGGGGAAGAAGTATTTCCTTTTACTTGGCATAAAGCCTGAGTTTGTACCATTATGCAAGGCATGCCCCTGCTATCCTGTTCAGCAGTAAAGCATCTCAGCACCTCATCTTTACTTCAGCCTCACACCTTTAGATTACTTTGTCACCATATTTTCTTTTTTTTAATAACAAAAAAGTATTATTTAAATAAAAAATTAAAATATTTTTATTTAAATAATAAAAAATATGAAGAATTTATCAGAAAAGTTTCAACTTTACACAGTTTTACATGCAACTAACTATTGTGATTCCCAGTACTAGCTTTTCCCTATAAATTATACTTGACCACCCATTAACCAGAACTTTGCACATACCAGAGTCCAAAGTGAACGGAAGGAGTCACCACCCCACCTATTGCACACTTAGCTCTCTGGCAGAAGTCACATGCGAGTTATATTAGTTTCACTGAACTTGGTTAAACTAACATTCACTCCAGTCAGGTATTTTCTACTCTTGGCAGATATTGACTTCTTTAACAGCACCCCAACTGATGAAGTGTAATCATCAGCTAACAGAAGCGATCTTTATTTCCTAATGGAAAAAAAAGACTGAAGTCTACCCTGAATTCATAAAATCGTTTTGAAATACGTTGTCACAACAGCCTCTCCTACATTACTCACCTAACACTCTGGCTTGCTGTTCGCATTGTGATGCTACGCTGCTACCCTAGGCACAAGTCCACAGCCCCCTGGTGAGAAGCTGAATCCTCTCAAATTACAGGTGTCTATCTGCTGACTGAAGATCATCACATTGGTAACTCAGTCACTGGGTTTTGATGGGGAAGTTTAACACTTCCAGAAAAAAAAACAACCCTGCATACACAAAAACACACACCCACCACAAAACCAAACCAAACACAAAAAACCCCAACACACACACACACAAAAAAACCACCCCTTTGCTGTGACTCAATGCAACCTTCCCCACCCTTACATAAGCACACTGGTTATCACAAGAGAACTAGAAAGTGAAAGCACTCAGGGTACTTTCATTTCCCAGAAAAGCTGCTCCCACACACGTGGCTTTCCCACTCAGTGAAAGTAGGCAAGACTTTCCTGTCTCCGTCCAGGTCCTGGCAACACACACACACCCCTCAGAATTTTAAGAGCTCTTGTTCCATAAGAAGTACAAGAAGTCAATAACAAAAAAATCCCCCCACCCAAACGAACAAAACCAAAAAGTCAGGCTTTTAAAGGAATTTACTCCTACATGAAAACATCTTCACTTCTTTAAGTGAAGATGCTGCTCTTAAGCTTTTTGTTTACTTTTCATGCTAAGGAATATCAGGAATGTCACATTTGGCTCTTAGCTTTTGCTAGATGACCAGCTGGGAATTGCAAATCAGCATCTTCACTACAGCAAGCGAAGAGCAATAAAACATAAAGGAACCCCGGAAGCATCCCTGGGCGCCTGGATAATCCCCCTATCACTGGCACTGCCAGCAACGGCGCTAAGGGGGTGACTGATGCAGCACCCCAAACAATTCCCGGCACAGGTGATGTGTGAGGGTTAAACACCTCCCAGCTAGTTCTGCAAAGCTTTTGGCCCAGCCCGCAAAGGCAGCCTCCAAGTCAGCTGGGGCATCAGGTCAATTTAACAACTCGGCCACTGCACCGGTCCCCAGCGTCCAGGGTGTCCCTCAACCCAACCATTCACATCACTGAAGTTATGGAGCCAGCTTCTCGCGGACCAAATAATCGGACTGTTGACACTTGAATGGGTTCTTCAGCCAGGAATAAAAGAAGATTTAGCCAAAACCAGAATGGAAATTCTCTCTCTCATTCATCTTCAGTTTAGAGAAGTCCACGAACACCAACTGAATTCACAGGATTAAAGAGATGCTACTTCCTGCCTTAACATATCTTTTCAGGCATAAGAGTGCAAGAAAAGCAACTGTTCAATTATCCTCCCACTTACGTTTACAAAGCACTTTTAAAAATGTGAAATATTTTTCTATTTTGAGACATGGGTAATTTGCTTTTTGACCTTTTCATAGAAGCTGATGGGTTTTGTCATCTTTTGTAGCTGCTGTTCCTAACAGTTGTAGATACAGCGTTATCCTAAAAATATATATATATTCCTAAAAATATATATATATTTTTAGGAAGTACTAAAGGTATTTTAAAGTAATATTACAAAAGGTTAACAGGAAAATGTAAAAACCTTACATTTTCACGTTCTGAAGCAGTATTCTTCTTTCAAGGTGTGGACCAAAAGATATTTAAAGACATTATTTTGGACAGATGCTAATGATAGTACTATAGTTCTAAACTCCTGCTACCACAATCAAAATCATTACTGAACTTTTGTGAAAGGTTTTCTAGAACGCAACAGGTTTTAAACTGCTATTAAAGGTTTCAGAAAGGTACAGATTCATAGTATATTACACCAACAAAAATAATGT